CTTTGAACCTTTGATCCTCCTGCCTCAGCCTCCTGAGTCGCTGGGATTATGGGCCTGTGCCACCATGCCCAGCTAACCTCTTCTTAATATCAAACCTAAAGTCTTTTTTTGGATAAAATATCTTGTTCATCCTAAAAAAAAACTATAAAGCAAGTGTGAGCTATAAGGAGTAATAAGCCTGACACCTTGGTACATGCCCATAATCCCAGAGACTTGGGAGGCTGAGGCAGGAGGATTGCAAATTCGAGGCTAGCCTGGAAAATTTAGGAAGATCCTCTCTCAAAATAAAAAAGGGCCAGGGAGGCGGGGCATGGTGGCACATGCCTTTAATCCCAGCGGCTCAGGAAGCAGGAGACCTAGGCAGGAGGATCTGGAGTTCAAAGCCAGCCTCAACAGTTTAGTGAGGTGCTGAACAACTCAGTGAGACCCTGTCTCTTATAAAATACAAAATTGGGTCGGGGATGTGGCTCAGTGGTTGAGTGCCCCTGAGTTCAATCCCTGGTACTGAGAAAAAAAAAAAAGCGGGAAGAGCCAGGGATATAGCCCAGTGGTAGAGTGCCCCTGGGTTCAATTCCCAATACTGAAAAATAAAAAAACAGGAATAATGATGAACTCTCATGTAACAGCTTGGGAAACAGAATATTAACACCATCAGAGCCTCATGTGCGCTTCTGAATTCCTATGACTTTCTCTTCCCAAATGAGCATCCTGAATTTTGTTTGTAATTTCCTTGTTTTACTTTATAATTGTAACCCATGTGTACATACCTCTATTTTTTTTATGGTTTTGAACTTTATATATTTAAGGTCAAAATGTATTATTCATCTGCAAATTATTTTTTGGCCAACATTCATCTATCTTGGAAGTATAAAAATGAGTATTCATTTTCATTGATGTCAAAATAAGCACTTATATAATATACTCCTTTACTGCTAGATATTTGGTAATTTTTTTTAGATGTTGATGGACCTTTATTTCATTCATTTATTTATATGCAGTGTTGAGAATCAAACACAGTGCGTCACACATGCTAGGCAAGGGCTCTACCACTGAGCCACAACCGCAGCCTGATATTTGGTATTTTTAACAATGCCCCCTGCCGTTTTGATGCTATGAATTCCTATACATGTCTTCATACTTCCCTAGGATCTTAAATTATGTACAGGATGGAAGTCAAAATATGTAACAACTGGTAAGGCACAGGTCTTAATTTGTTCTCCTCCACAAACATCTGATACAAATTCTTTTATGTATTTATTTTTGTGGTGGTGATTCTGGGGATTGAACCCAGCAGCACTCTGCCACTGAGCCACATCCCTAGCCCTTTTTTATTTTTATTTTTTATTTTGAAACAGGATCTCGTGAAACTGCTTAGGGCCTCACTATACTGATGAGGCTGGCCTCCAAATTTGTGATCCTCCTACCTCAGCCTCTCGAGTTTCTGGGATTACAGACATGTACCCAGTCCCACAACACAAATTCTTACATGCTGTTGGTTTATTTTGGGAGATGATTCTAAAGAACAGGCATGGGGAGCGGACAGCAACTGTGAAACACAAAGGAGGAACCAATCCAAGGATGTGTTACAGAGATAACCACTGCTGAAGGCTACTGAGCCTCAATCCTGCAGGGGACTCTCTGAGGAGCTGAGAAGAGCACAACTCAGAACCCTCCACTGGAGGGACAAGGAGCATATTTGTACACTGGCTCCCCTCTCCACTGTTTAAAGGTTGCCCCACAGAATGTTGACCCTCTAGCACTTTCAGGTTTGAACATGAGAGAAAATGTCAGAATGGGTTCAGACAGGTATTCTGAGAGGCAGAGAAATTTCAGCTCAGAAAACAGAAGATGAAATGAGGGAAGATGCTATCAGGTTCACCAGGGCAGTTGATTGCAGCAACAAGGGGATTAAAGGTAGACCAAGGGCCAGCCACGCAGCTCAGTGGTGAAGTGCTTGCTAGCACGTGGAAGGGCCCTGGGTTCAGACCCCAGCAGGAAGAAGGAGCGGGAGGAGGAAGAGGTAAAAAGAGAAGAAAAAGGTGGACCAAGAGGACATGAGGTGGGGCAAGAGGTGACCCATACTGAGGTAACTGAGTAATAAAGGATAAGAGACAGTTCTTCTGTACAGAATTTCAGGGAATAAATGTAAAGACCACAGACATAGAAAATCGCCATTACTGGGCAAAAATACCACAGAAGTGATTGTTGTAGGCAAGAAATATCCACCGACAAGCCAGATGCATGGCCCAGGCCTGTAATCCCAGCAATTCAGGAGGCTGAGGCAAGAGGATTGCAAGTTCAAGGCCAGCAATTTAGGGAGACCGTCTTGAAATAAGGTTGGTGGGAGGGGTGTGGTGCACCAGGACATAGCTCAGTGTAGAGTACCCCCCCCCCGGTTCAATCCCCAGTACTGGGGGGAAAATATTTTTATTAATGACAAAGGGAAAAATAGTAACCTTACAGTGGAAAAACCTGGCTGGCAGATACTACCCTAACCAAGTGACCAAGATTAATAACCATAATAATTCATAAAATATTCATGATAGGAGGCACAAAGGCCACACATCACTTCTGCAGTAATCTGACAATGTTGCAATATTTTAATCTAATCACAGGAAAACATTGGAACAACTAAAATTGAGGGACATTCTACAAAATAATTGTTTTCAAAAATGTCTACATTATGGAGGACAGAATGACTAAGGAATTGTCTCAGATTGGAGAAGACTTAGGACGACATGAAAATTAAATGCAACGTGGGGTGTGCATTGAATTCTGAATTCAAAAGACATTAGAGAACAGCAAATTGAATAAGGCTTACAGATTAGTTAACATTGCTGTATCAATGAATTTCCTGGTTTGAGTAACTGTCTGTGGTTACACAAGTATATGAGATGTCAATGAGGGGAAGCGGGGTGAAGGGGGAACTCTGTACTTTTTACTCCTTTTCTGTAAGTCTAAAATTATTTCAAAATAAAAGGTTGAGCAGGGCATGTGGTGCATGACTAAAATCCCAGCAACTCAAGAGGCTGAGGTGAGAGGATTGCAAATTCAGCAACTTAAGAGAGAGTCTAAACAACTTAGCAACCCTGTCTCAAAATTTTAAAAAGTGCCCTTGAATTCAATTCTTAGTTAAAAAAAAAAAATCAAAGAAAAGTTGAAAAAAAATACAAGGGGATTTTATTAAAATACAGATTCTCATTTCTTAGTACTGGGATGAGATCTGAACTTCTGCTTTTCTTTCTTCCTTTCTTTTGGTCCTGAGGATTGAACAACATCCCCAGTCCTTTTTATTTTTATTTTGAGAAAAGGTCTCACTGAATTGTTTAGTATCCCTCTAAATTGCTGAGGCTGGCCTTGAATTTAGGTTCCTCTTGCCCCAGCCTTTGCAGTTGCTGGGATTACAGCCATGTGCAACTGTACCAGCCATGAACTTCTGCTTTTCTTTAAAGCATTCCCCCCAGTTGCACTGAGGTTTAATGGACATATAATAAACTGTGTGTATTTAAATGAGTGTTGGTATGTGTATACATGAAAATTGCCACAATCAAGAGGCAATTCTACATAGGTATCTCATTTCTACTTGACTTGCCATCAGAACTACAGTGGCCTTTGTTGTGACATAGAGTTAGTGTCTCCCTACGCAGCAGAGGAAAATTTTATTTAACTATCCAGTACAATAAAAGTCATTTCCTCTGGGTAAGCATTAAGCAGATTTACTATCATCACATTACAAATGACTTGTTTTTTTGTTTTTGTGGCTTTTTTCCCCCCAGTATTACTGGGGATTGAACCAAGGGGCACTCTACCACAGAGCTACAATCCCCAGCCCTTTTTATTTTTAGTTTGAGACAGGGTCTCACAAATTGCTGAGCGTCAGCCTCCTGAGTTGCTAGGATTACAGGTGTGGGCCATCATGCCTGGCAACACTGGGGTTTTTCTAAGCCTGAGGCTCCTTGACTGTACCACAGAACACTGCAGGCACAACAGCCTGGATTCTTCCATGCAGGGCTTGGGAAGCAAGGAGAACAGATGTAAATATGAAGATAATTGATGCCTGCTATGCCATGAGTAATAACAGGCTTAATCTCTGACCCAAGAGGCTCCTATCTTTGTCAGAATCCATGAAACTGTGGGAAGCCGACTTGTTAGCTTCCAGGTAGATATAATTTCAACCTCTTCTCTATGGTTGGCAGTGTTTGGTGATGAAGCTGAGATACTGACAGCGTCTTTTTTGGAAGAGGACAAGGCTCCTGTGGTCTGGGTAAGAGAATATGAGAATCTACAATCCCATCTCCCTAATCTAGGTGCAAATGCTCTTGCCCAAGTGGTGGAGTGGGAGAAAGGTAATTCAGCATATCTAATATATTTGTTTTATAATCTCTACCACTTAATCAGTTGTCTGTTTTTCTAAATAGCAAAAAGTTCACTATTGTTGGGCACAGTGGCACACGCCTGTAGTCCTAGCAGCTCAGGAGGTTGAGGCAGCAGGATTGTTAAATTTGAAGCCAGCCTCGGCAACTTAGCAAGACCATGTCACAAAATAAATAATAAATAAATAAATAAGGAGCTGGGTATGTAGCTCAGTTGTAGAGTGCCGCTGGGTTAAATATCCAGTACAGAAAAAAGAAAAAAAAAAGTCCATTATTATGTGATATTATCATCTTTCCTTTTTCCCTACAATTTCTTTTAAATAAAACCCATTCTTTAAGATAACTGCTGTAATACGATCAAATTTCAGGAGAACCTGCTCCACATAATGCTCATAATTACCTCCATAATGTCCTGATTCTTTGTCTTCTTCATCAGACTGATACTACTTTGAAATAATAATAATAATGAAACACCTGCCTTTCTTCAAATATCTCAATGTTTATAATTCTTCAAAATTTCCTACTACAAAATGATACCATGGGCTCAGCTAGGAAGAGACTCCACTGAAGCTTCCACCATTTGGATGTCACAAAATGTGTGCAAACTGAAGCAAAGAACGACACATACAAAATTAAAATGGCTTTAATATTCCAACATGTATAGATCAATCATTCACTGTTTCATTGCAGTTTCCCAAATCATTTTAGATTATAATTTTCAGAAAGGATTTCAACAACTAGTGGGCTAATCCCATCACATTAGTATATGAATTGCCTTTGGTCTAATTATTTTTAATCTTTGCTACATTTTGGCAGCACTGAAGAATTGAACCCAGGTCTTTAGGCATGCTAGGCAATCACTGTAACACTGAGCTATAATCCCCAGTCCCCCCAGTTATTTAAAAATTTTCTAGATATTTAAAAATACAGTATAATTTCACAACAAATTATATTTCCCCCATCACAAAGAATTAACCCTCTCCTCAAGTAATTTCCTTTATGTGAGAAGGTAGAACATATAATAATAAGTCTAAAGAGGACCTAAAGAAGCAAGAGTTCATAAACCCCTTTTTTCCCTAACCACATGAAGCCTATATTTATTTAGAATTACTGCTGTAGTTAATGTACTTATTTCTGTCACTTTCTTTTTCACATTGGTGGGGATCAAACCCAGGGCTTCCCTCTGTGACTTTCTTAATGTGTAGAAACCAAAGTGGGAAAAAATATTTAATAAAAACGCCCAGGGGGCTGGGGATGTGGCTCAAGCGGTAGCGCGCTTGTCTGGCATGCGTGCGGCCCGGGTTCGATCCTCAGCACCACATACCAACAAAGATGTTGTGTCTGCCGATAACTAAAAAAATAAATAAATATTTAAAAAAAAAAGCCCAGGTAATTTTTTTAAATCTACAAGTTAAAATAAACAAAAGGTAAATTTTACGTGCATATGAAAAATATCTGTATTACCATGCATCCCTTGGTTTTTTGTTTGTTGATCTTAAAAATGGTTTGAGATTCTCAATGACTATTTAATAAAACCATGAATTCATAAAGAATACCAGAAAAATAATATAAATTTACTGATGCATATGAATTGGGATTTATATTTACTATCTTGCACAAATAGGAAAACTTCTAATTAACTTTCTACAAAGTCATTATGAAATCTTTACACAAATCAGTTGATTTTATGTATAAAAGGTTAGAAACATGATGGCAGCTATGTAGAAAGTATGTACCTGTACACTCCACAGAACATTTTAAGTAAAGGTATCTTTGAAATGTTTCTGCTATCTCACAGTATTAGTACCACACTCTAATGAGTACAGAACAGAACTTGTATCCAGAGCTTTTGCTCAGGATATTATAAAATCATGTTCAAAATGCTATATACACTTTGCCTTGGATTATTTTTTTAAAAAAAATCCTACTTAGTGGCTTCTTAAGTCACTGGACTGATTTTAAAAATACTTTAAAAAAGATATTTAAAGATATGGCTCATTTAGTAAACAATCCAATTGACAAATGGGCAAAAGACACGAACAGAAATTTCACAGAACAGGATACAAAGATGGCAAAAAATCACATAAAAAGATATTCAACCACATTTCAAATTAGGGAACTGCAAATTAAAACCTTAATGAAATATCACTATATACCTATGAGGATAGCTGAATTTTAAAAAGTGACAATAACAAATGCTGGTAAGAATGTGGAGACACTGGATCACTCACATATTATGGGTGAGAATATAAAATGGTACAGTCATACTGGAAAAGTTTGGTGTCTCTCATAAAGATTCTGCAGTGCTGGGAATTGAGCCCAGGACCTTGTACATGCTAGGAAAGCATTCTACCACTGAGCTATACCCTCAGCCCAAGAATTAGTTAGGGTGGGGTCCCTCTAACATTTTTCCTCTATACAGTATAGATATCTATCTAGACGTAGCCATTTTAATAACAAATTTATAGTAAAGGAGGTACAACAGTAGAAAAAGAACAGAATTTCAGAAACATTTGATTCTGCAGGCTCATGTCTCTATCCTTTCTATACCCAAGATCATTCTTGAATTCTTCTTGGGCCAAGGATTCTATGGGAATATAGTGACAGTATAGCCTGTGATTTAGATGCTGGCACCAAAATATTTATGGTTACGAGGCTCCAAAACTTAAAAAACCCACAATTCTGGGTTACCTACTTTATTTTGGGGGGTAACCCATTTTGAGGGGGTACTGGGGATTGAATTTAGGAGCACTAAACTCCTGAGCCACATCTCCAGCCCTACTTTGTACTCTATTTATTTAGAGATAGGGTCTTATGACTTGCTTAGCATCTCATCCTTGCTGAGGCTGGCTTTGAACTCATGATTCTCCTGCCTCAGCCTCTCTAGCCACTGGGATTACAGGTATGCACCACCCTGCCCACCAGTTTAGAGTTCCCCATTTTTGACTACCGTGAACCAGATGGCCTGGCTTTGGGAATTTGAGATGATGATTCTGGAATCAGGTAGGTCTTAAAGATCCAAGGTATGTTTGGGGTTTTTAACTCTTCTTTGAAAAAACATGATTTAAATTTCCCAAAGGGATTCAGACTCCTTCCGGGTATATTCAAGCATTCTTTAGGCTATCTCTAGGATGACTCTAGAATCACTAGAATCACTTAAATCTGAAGGACCCTGGAGCACAGCTTTCTCTCACCTTAAAGAATTATAAAATTCCTGACAGCCTCCTGGGCTGTACTATTTTAAAGACTAGTTCCCAGTGTGTCTTTGCAGAAAGGGCTATGTCTGAAGTTCCTTTCCTATAGCACTTAAGTGTTTGGCAATGTTATGATTTAATCTCTGTTAGTCATCTGCAGCCAAACATATAAACCCTGTGACTAGAAAGGCTTCAATTATACCTTTAAAAGTTAATAGAGCTGAGGGAGCAGCTGAGTGGTAGGGTATTGCTTAGCACCCACGAGGCCCTGGGGTCAATCCCCAACACCCCCCCCCAAAAAAAAAGAGTAAATATAATTGTATTTATGGGTGTACATCTATATAAAAATACATTTGCAAATACACGGACATATGAAGTATTTTTAAATAAACAATACAAGGATTCTAGCTCTTATAACAAAGTTATCAATTCAACAGAGACATATTTTACTTTTAACAAATATAAACGGTTCCATATCAACAAAAGTATGTAACATCAAAGATAAAATATGTATACCATCAAAGTTGCACTTTAAAACAAAGCAAAAATTCATCCCACAAACAAGAAGGAACAGTGTTAAGCTCTGGAGAAAGAAACAGATTTGGCTCCTGCTTTCAGGGAGCTTCCAGTCTGGAGGTTTCCACAGAAGGCAGAAAAAGAGAGTGGTCATCTCTTGCTCGGAGATGAAAGGGAGGCAAAAAAGCAGATCAAGTAGCAGATGGTCTGTAGAATACATTAATTCTAAACTGAAGTCCTAGACCTACTGATTAAGACGACAAAGGCTGCAAAGGTTGCGGTAGCGATGAGTGGGTAAAAATATTAGACAATTACCAGCTGGAGATGAAGCTCCGGGTAGAGTCCTTGCCTAGCAGGATGGAGGCCCTGGGTTTGATCCCCCAGTACCACCAAAAAAATTTTTAAAGGACAATCATTATATTGTGAGGGTCCCCTAAGCGTCAGAACAGGAGTATGATACTCTATTCCTGAGTCTTCAATTTTCTTCTCCTAGCCCACATTGGTGGTTCTCAACGGGGGTGATTTTGCCTCCCATGGTGGCAGTGTTTGGAGACATTTTTTGGCCATAACAACTATGAGGAGGATGCTGGAAGCAACAGGGTGGAGGTTGGGGATACTCTTCTGATGCACAGCACTGTACCCCAGAACAAAGACTATCCAGTCCAAAGTGTTAATGCTGAGAGTGCAAGCCCAGGTCATGGGTGGATAAAAAGGATTTAAAATTCAGTAATTCTATAGTATAAAAGCAATTAGAACCACTTTAACATGGACTGTACAGGAACATTCTCCTCCTTAAGAACTTGGAACACTCTCCTCCTTAAGAACTTAAGAGACTGCTTAAGAACTAAAACTATCTGATAGATCCATAATGGGAAAATAAAACATGCTGAGGAACATTAGCACATTTAATTCTTTTCAAATATTAGCATAAAAATGGAAAGTAAACTTGACAGATGGAAAAAGTGATTTTTTCCCACTCAACTGACTTTCATTATCAATTGTTTTTATAACCACAAAAGCAAATATCACCTTATTACTGAATTTGGTTAAATATGACAAAAGATTTACTAAATCATGTCACTAAAAACAGCCAGAAACACTACAAATAAAAGATTAGTTTCTAGATTCTCAGAAGAAAAAAAATTAGCAACTGCTCTTCAAGGAGTAGTTCAATTCTAATAAGAGATAGTCAAAATTATTTTCCTATATTATCTAAAAGGTATTTCTCCTTTGTTTTGTAATTGAATGTTGAGAAAGAATAATGTGCAGAAGAAATGAAACAAATTTTTAGGAATAATATTACAATGCAGTATATTCTAATCCAAAAGACAGAATCATTTCCATGAAATCACACCCACTAAGAAGCAGAAGCCAAAAGAAATATTAACACAACAAGAGCAGTTTTCATGTAATTTTGGTAGAGAAGCCTTTAATTGGCCACTAAACTTTGTAAAAAGGATGTAAAAAGAGAACAAAAATAATAAGATATTATCTACATAAAGAGCTATGACTTGTTACAGTAAACCAAACCATCCTTTTTTAAAAATATTGTTTTTGTTCTTTTAGTTGTAGTTGGACACAATATCTTTATTTTATTTTTATGTGGGGCTGAGGATTGAACATGGCACCCCACATGTGCTAGGCGAGCGCTCTACCACTGAGCCACAACCCCAGCCCCAAACCATCTTTGTTTAACAAAAAAATATCCAAATCTTCATGGAGCTAATGATACCTTGTAGTTACTACAATGCCTCCATCAGGTAACATTTAGTCATTGAAAGAGATACTTGAAGGTCATGGAAATGGAATCTGCAGAAATGCACTTTAACTGTTGGTCTATCAACTGGATTCTCAAATGGAGAAAAATGGCATCAATGAAAGGCAGCGGAGCACAACAGACACTAGTATGGCAATTTGTAAATCAATGGATGTGTAACTGATGTGATTCTGCAATCTGTGTATGGGGTGAAGGTGGGAGTTCATAACCCACTTGAATCAAAGTTGGAATATGATATGTCAAGAAATTTGTAATGTTTTGAACAACCCACAATAAAAAATTAAAAAAAAAAAAAAAAAGATTCCCCGAACAGTTCCTCCCCCACTTTCATTATTACACAATAGCCAATTCTACCATGCAGGACTTGTATGTGATAAATCTTGATAAAAAGGGAAATTCATTCATTCATTCTTGCAAATTCAAATCCCCAAATGCAGGCAGGGACAAATAACATAAAAACAGTTTGGGGGCTGGTCAGTTGCCTTACGACAATTTCATACTCAGCCTGGGGTTTCTCCTTTACATTGATTCTAGCAATGAAATCTGACAGTGGGAGTAATGAATGAAGTCGGCTCCTCTCTGTGGATCTCCAGCTCTGTGGCCAGAAGGGCAACTGTGACTGTGAATGCACTCCTGTCAATTCTACGTGCCACTGCATGTAGCTCAGAGAGATGAGTAGGCTGGACAAACATTAGAATGAGACACCAACAAGTGAAATACCGCCATGAAGGCAAGTCTTAAATTGCCAATAAACTAGGGCACCTTTTTAAAATTAAAATCTATCAATTAGGCACTTAATAAAACCAAAAGACACTTATGTAAGCATCTCAATAACTAAGAGAGATAAAGAACAGGAGAAGAAAGGCAAGATGTATTTTAACTGCCTGCATTTTGTAAAAAAATAGAATGTTATACTTCACCCAGAATTTTTGAAAGAAATGTTATTTGAGAAAGAAACTAAAAGATATTTTTCTGTTCCTTAAAAATCATTATATATTTCAGTCCATTAACTAAAATTAGTTTTCCAGTGCTTTTCCACATGTAAAGAATGCTTAGATTTTGGCTGGACAAGGGAAAATTAAGGCAGTATCTTTACACCCAAAAAAGGAAAAAATTGACTCAATAATAAGCTTTCCTGAGAAGGGCACATTGAGCTCATATTTGGATATGACATTGAAAAATTATGGCTTTACATTTGAATTTTTATTATTTTAAACTTCCATATTTTCTCAGTTACTCTTTCTTTTTGGCTTTATGGATTTCAAATATCCCACTTAATTTTCTCTTTCTTTCTTTTTGTTGGTACTGGGGATTGAACCCAGTGGTGCTCTGCTATTGAGCTACATCCCAGCCCTTTTCATTTTGAGATAGGGTCTCTCTAAATTGCTGAGGCTGGCCTTGAACTTGTGATCCTTCTGCCTCAGCCTCCCAAATACACAGGATTACAAGTATGCTCCACTATGCCTGGTTTGGCCCGATTAGTTGTAAAGAATTAAAGAAATATTTTTCCGATAATTTGGAGCAAAATGTGAACGGTGTTTCACCTAGAATTATTAGCTCTCGGATGCTAAACAATTATGTTCCATGTACCACTGACCCAGTTTAAAAAAGAGGAGGGCTCATAACTGTCAAAATCCAGTTGGAAATGGCTGATGTCCTGTGGAATTTGCTAGAAAATTGAAGACGAAGTTTTGAGGTATTGCTGCCGCCTTATAATTTTACCAAGATTAAAAAAAAAGTTAGTGTTTTTTAGTTAGTTTTGTTTTGGTTTTTTAAGAGCAACACTTTTTCTCCCAGGTTGCGAAGCTCATTTTGAATCTTCTCTGTGGTCCCTGTGGTACCAGTCCTCCCTGAGCACTGTAATCTGCAGGTGGCATCCACCAGCCGGCTACAGTCTTGACTGTTTCATTTAGTGTTATGTCTTGTTATACCAATTCATGGAGCGTTTCACTGCTTTGACCCAGTTTTCCATATTCATTTCATATTCTTGACATTTCTTCTGCGGCTTGAAAACCATTTCACTTTGCCTCAATTTCTTTAGTTCCTCCTTGTCAGTCCAAAACCCTACAGATGAAAAAATTATTCTCAGATTTTAAGGCAAATAATGAGTCCATAAAATTCACTCACAAACATGAGTTGTGCCACAGGAAAAAATTACTATTTTAAAACAATCCAAAATAGTTTGCTACTTTTGTTAGATTGACCATTTCTGGGAATAAATACACCAATATTTTAAAATCTTTTGTTTTCTAATTTTAAGCTTTATTTCTGAGAGGCATGACATCAAATCATTTTTTTTTTAATTTTTATTTAGTTTTAGATGGGTGCAATATCTTTATTTTATTTATTTATTTTTATGTGGTACAGAGAATCAAACCCAGTGCCCCATGTGTGCGAGGCAAGCACTGTACTGCTGAGCTACAACTCCAGCCCCACTGAATCACTTTCAAAGTAGCCACATCCCATCATCATTTAATTTCATGACTTGCTATTTAAAAAAAAAAAAATCTGGGGGCTGGGGTTGTGGCTCAATGGTACAGCACTTGCCTGCCACATGTGAGGCCCTGAGTTCCATCCTCAGCACCACATAAAAATAAATAAAATGAAGGCATTGTGTCCTTCTACAACTAAATTTTTTTTTTAATTCAATTTTCTTTTTTTCTTCTTTCTTGCAGTGCAGCAGGTTGGACCCAGGGCCTCTCCCCTGACAGGCAAGTGCTCTACCACTGAGATATCCCATCTCTCTATTTTTTGACATAGGGAGTCAGTACATTGTCCAGGCTGGCCTGGAACTTGTGATCCTCCTGCCTTAGTCTCCTACATAGCCTGAATTAAAGACATGTGTCACTACGCTGGGCATATATTATTATTTTTATGCAATTAAAATAAATGAAGATAAATTGAGATTTTTGTCATACATCTTGACATAGGTGACAACTCTCCGTCATATGCATAAAATCAAAAGCTGGAAATTAATATGAGAGTTTTCTTTTCAAAGTACAGCATTTTATGCAAGCTATTTAAATTCCAATTCAAGATAAAATTGATCTAACACATACTGTTCTTTGAAATGAGGATCATGTGATTTATAATCAAAAGCAGCAAGAGAACACTTTTTTTTTTTTTTGGCACTGGGGATTGAACGCAGAGGTGCTTTACTACAGAGTTACATATGAACTTGCTCGTTTTCTTTTTGAGACAGGGTCTCACTAAGTTGCCAAGGCTGGTCTTGAACTTGCTATCCTCCTGCCTCAGTTTCCTGAGTCACTAAGATTACGTGTATACCACTGTGACCATTTGAGGACACATTTATAATTATAATCATTAGTAGTCTGATACAGGTGTATGTGGGTGTGGGTGTGTTTATTTATTTAATCTATTTATAGTAATCTATTTATTGAACCCAAGCACTTTACCATTCAACTACATCCCCAATCCCACCCACCTTTTTTTTGAGACAGGATCTCACCAAGGTGCTGAGGCTCCCTCAACTGTGTACCCCTATCTCAGCTTCTCTAGTCACTAGGATCACAGGAGTGTGCCACCCTCCTTGGTTGAATGCAGTCCTTTCTAAAACCAAAGACAAGCCTAGTGACAAGATTCTCTTCTTGGTCAAACTCTATACTTAGTTCCTCTGGTCTTTTTCGACTAGGCTTCAACTCTGAGACTTCCATGTTCCTTTCCTCATTATCTACTTTAAGAAGAATGCAGCCAAGTCCGTTTAGCCAGAATCCCCAAACCTCAGTATCTGATCATCCTGGATATCTCATCTGCCACATTCCCCCAGGCCAGCCTTCAGCAAAAATCCTGTTAGGTTGGTTTAGCCAGAATTTCTTCTTACCTCCAGTGTGTCTTCTTAGTAAATCTTCCACTTACTGATTCCCATCCTGCTCCTGAGCTTATAAATTCTCACTTTTCCTTGTTGTATCTGCCACTAGAAAACTTGCTTCAGTTTTAAACATTGCCTTAGTCCCTATACCTGTTGCAACAGTATCCCTGAATTAAGTCTGCATTAGTGTTCTTTAACAAGTATGCTTGAACAGTTCTTTTCCTTAACACCAGCTACCCAAAGATCCTTCTCTGCTAGGAACCAAAGCAGCTGAGAATCACATGCCCTCATCTCCTATTCATTCTCATGGAAGGAATGAAGGATGGAGAGGTGGTGTACCCAGACCCACCAACAAACAGAGAAGGTCACAGGGTATTTTGTGAGGAATATGCTTATGGATATGGACCTTAATGCACACCAAGGCTTTCCAGATCCTCTCAGCAATTTTATGATTTGAGAGAAGAAATGCTATCATAGATATGGTTTGCAAGGTAGCTTTTTTTTTTTTTTTTTTTAATAAAATCTACACATACCAACAGCAAGGCCAGCAAGAGAAGCAGCACCCAAACAGGACATGTCAAAGTGGGCTGGTCTGTCTATATTCTCATTAATCAGGTCTGAAGTCATCTGCATGACAAAACCGTTCTTACAAACTCCTCCATCTGCCCTGTGGGGAGCAAGATATAAAAGATAAGTCACAAGAATAATAGCATCATTCATTCTTTTTATGTGGGCTACATATTTTTCTTACATCCTTGATTTTATAAGTTTAATGTTTTTTGTGCTAAGGATTGAACCTAGAGCCATGCTAAGGAAGTTCTCTCCACTGAGCTATATCCCCAAACTCTGTATATATATATATTTTTTAATTCCAAAATTATATCGCTTAGCACTGACCCGATGACAAACAATTTTACTGGGTATTTGCTAAATACTTTTCCTTATTCCTGCCATCAATTTCCCCACTTGCCCTGTCTGTCTTGGGACTAGTCAAAATAGGCTAAGTAAAAACTAACCCAACATAAAAATTCATTTGGACATTATAGGAACAAAAGTCAGTAAATTTGATACTTCCATGCCAAAAAGACAGCTAAAACTCAAAAAGAGAGATTTTTTTAAAAAAAAGATTTATACAATACACATGAGTGGCAAGATTCTACCAAATTTCATATTATGTTATGTTCTCCAGAAGTCCAAAATTAGCTTTCCTATCCTCTCCAAATTCCAGTGATCAATAATTTACTGCCAAGGAGCCAGGCATAAATTCTTTTTGAAATCCTGAAAAACCGGAATGATTAAAATACTAATAGCAGCTACTACTTACTTGGAACTTCTAAATGACCCTGTTAGAAATAAAGCTCACATACCGGACGTTTGTAACAGGAATATGGATCTCTTTCTGCATCATCTCATATAATTGTTTGTTTCTGGTTAAAAAACAAGATAACTATTTAGAGGGCATTCATATAATAATAATCCTCTATTCTGATATCAAAAAATTAAAACCACAGTTTTATTTACCTGATGTTTATAAAACATGCGAAAGAAAATATTAAAGAAATATTGGTTAACTGCAGAATGCCTAGCAGATGCCTGATTTAAACAGCAGCTCGGCTTTTCATGCTTCCCCCCTTCATATAGCATGTTTTTTATTTTACAACAAAGTTAAATCTTTTACCATTCTTCAAAGAAAAAGTAAAGCAATTAGCTATTTAAAAGGTATTCATTAAGATGAGATACCACAAATAACATTTAATAGAATTCATCAAATACAATTATTTTGTAATCATGGACATTAACTTATTTTAAACTAAATGAAACAAATATTCTTTATCATGACAGCTATATCCACCCCCACAATGGGGATCGAACCTGGGGGGCACTGTACCACTGAGCTATATCCTCAGCCCTTTTTTCTGATTTTATTTTTTGACACAGGGTCTTGCTTGAGTTGTTGAGGCTGTCTTTGAGCTTGTGATCCTCCTGCCTCAGCCTGGGATTATAGCCTATGCCACTATTGCACCCAGCTCTGACAGCTGTGTTCTTAGTTTTAACAATCTACACTTGTCCCATAGCAAAAGGATCACAGGAAATATATATAAATAATAATTCTGATGATTTAAGTCTTGGATAATAGAAGCATTATAAATTTGAATTCTCCCTCATGAATAAGGAAACTACACCTTTGAAAATTCCAATTTGAACCTTTCATGCTTGAGAAATTGGAATTTTTAAAAATTTATTTATTTTTTATAGTTGTAAATGGACAGTATGCTTTTATTTTATTTGTTTCATTTTTATGTGGTGCTAAGGATCAAACCCAGTGCCTCACACATGTTAGGCAAGTGCTCTGCCTCTGAGCTACAACCCCAGCCCTGGAATTTTTTTATTCTTATTTTTTTTCCTGTGGTGCTGAGAATAGAACCCAGCACCTCACATATGGACAATACATGTTCTATCACTGAGCTTTAACCCCAGTCCTGGATTTTTTTTTTTTTTTAATATTTATTTAGTTGTAGATGAACACACAGTATCTTTATTTATTTTTATGTGGTGCTGAGAATAGAACCCAGTGCCTCATACATGTGAGGCAAGCACTTTACCATTGAGCTACAGCATCAGCCTCCCCTGGATGTTTTTAAAAATCATTCAATTTCAAAAATCAAATCTAATACTGGTACTATTTAAATGAAATATCAAGGAAATTAGCAATCAGAACAGATTAGATCAAATGCAGTATGTTTTAAACTGAAAGTTTAAATTAAATAACTTAATGAAAAGTAAGAAATTTTCAATTTTTTAGAAGTGCTGATCTTGTTTTACTATCTAACTAGAAAATAATCCTCTAACCTGGGAAGGGGTGGGAAGGTCCCCCTCCCCCATTCTTATTTACCAGCTCTGGCCCCACCCTCACCCTTCTTGGCATTCTTTCTCTTCATGGGGCCTGAGAGGCCACCCCTATATGGAGGGGACAGTCAATAAGCTTCTGGAACAATGAAGGACAGGATGAGCACCACCTGCTTGTGGACCCTCCTATGCACTGACAGACAAGCATGCATGCACATGGGTGGGCTTGGTAGGCCCACCTTAAAGATCTGGGTCTGTAAGCACTGAATATTTTAATTTGAGAGCAAATTAATACAGGAAATGGCAAAGCATGTAGATGAGAGGCAGGGAGCTTGGGGCAGATTTTCTTACCTGAAAGCTATTGACTCCAGTATTGCTCGGACAAGATGGTGTTTATTGGTAGAAGGCTTCAAACCCATAAAAGAAGCACATGCACAGGGGTCATTTAATGGAGCCTAAAGGAAGAGGTAAAAAGAATGTATTATAAATGTTCTTAGTTATGTCTACAGACTTGAGGAAATTTATACAATAAAAATAGGCATGTTACAAGAATACTTAAAAATAAACGATAATCCAAAAATTAAACATTAGGATTACTTTCTTTCCTTCTTCTTCTTTTTTTTTTTTTCCTGTGGTGTTGGAGCTGGAATTACAAGGCCTGGAGCTAGACAAGTGCACTGCCAGCCACCTACACCCTCAGCCCTAGGATAATTTTTTTTTTTTTTTGGTACAGGGGATGGGATTGAACCAGGGGCACTCAACCACTATGTAGAGTGACTTGTTAAGGATATAAATTAGATTTAAGATTTAAAAACAAAAACATTCTTTTCAGTGGCACAGCTTACATCACACATACTGTCAGACATATTCATTGGATAAAGTCTGTATAAATCACAGGGCATGGTGGCGCACCCCTCTAATTCCAATGGCTAAGGAGGTTGAGACAGCAGAAGCTTGAATTCAAAGCCAGCCTCAGCAACTGCAAGGCACTAAGCAACTCAGTGACCTGTCTCTAAATAAAATACAAAATAGGGCTGGGGATGTGGCTCAGTGGCTGAGTATCCCTGAGTTCAATTCCTGGTACCAAAAAAAAAAAAAGTCTTTGTATCCCCAGAATGCAAGACAATTCTAGGACATATAGGACATAAAGATATAAAACAAAGATCCCTGCAAGAGCTTACAATCTCATAAGGAAACAGAAGAACAGTTCTGACACATGAATATACTCAGGACATATGGACACACTAGTGCTACCAAGAAAATGGCTTCCCCAAAATAGTACTCTAGCTTCAGGGCTTTTCTTCTTTATTTTGAGGAACTGGGAATCGAACCCAGGGGTGCTCTACCACTGAGTTACATCCTCAACCCTTTTTGTTTTTAATTTTGAGACAGGGTTTTGATAAGCTCTCCAGGCTGGCCTCAAACTTGGGATCCTCCTGCCTCAGCCTCCTAAGTGGCTGAGATTATAGGTGTGCCCCACCATGCCTGGTATCTCTTTCCTTAGAAAATTTTCTACACTCCTTCTCCTGGTTATTTTATAATCCTCCTCCAAATCTTTGCTCAGTTTCCTCAGAGAAAACTTCTGATCCAGAGACTAGATTAGGTTCCCCATTACATGCTTTTATGGAACTCTACAATTTGCCATGATACTATGTACCAGTTTATGACCACATTTGTGGGATTATTGATTCAATCTTCCCCTCTATACTGTAAATGCCATAAAGGGAACCTCGTCTTATGCTCACAAGGTGTCTCCAACCACTGTATGTAGCACTTTAGAGAGGACCAATTAACATTTAGTGAATAAAGAAACAAATAATACTTTTGCTAATTACTTAAGGAATTCTTACAGAATGAATCTGACATAATTTTCCTATGTACATATATGACTTATCACAAGGAATCTCACCATCATGTATATCCATAAGAAGGGGATCCTAATTAGAAAAAGATAAATTCCATGCTTGTATAATTATATCACATTGATTCTACTGTCATGTATAATTAAAAAGGACCAACAAAAAATTAAAAAAGAAATTCAACATTAAGGAGGTATTCCATAGAAACTTAAAATTTCTTTACAAGTTACAACACCCCCATGTTAGTCCATGTGAGTCTGTGTCCTGGTAGGAAACACCAGGAAGGTCCTTCTACAGGCCTGGACACACTCCATTATGGCAGATGGCCTACAGCCACAACTTCAGGCTGTCACTGCCAATCCTAATGACTAAGCCTCCACAGAACCATCAACCAACAAGGATCAGTAGCACTCAGCAAAACTCTGTTTGGCTCCCTAAGCAAAGCTAGCTACCTCTTTCCCAGGGCACAGACTACCTGCCCCAGGGCCCTTGTCACCACCAGGATCTCAGCTGAATCTGATGGGGAATTGTAGGATGGTTAATGCCATGCTTCTTGCCCTTGTCAACCCAGACTCTGAATGTATGCACCTACTGTGTGTTCTGACTGCCATAGTATTTTATGTCATACCATAAGGCCATCTGACAGAGCAGTTAAGAGCCTGGACTCTGGAGTCAGAATGCTTAGGTTCTAAAACCAGTTCTGCCACTCACTAGCTAGGTGAGATCAGACAAGTGATTTAACAGCTCTAAACCTCAGTTTTCACTCTGGGGACATAGCTCAGTTGTAAAGTGTTTGCCAAGCATGCATTAAGCCCTGGGTCACATCCCCAGTTCCAAAAATCAAGCAAGCAATCAATCTCATTTTCCCCATCTCCAGAGTGGGATGATTCGAGTATCTTCTACCTTGTTGAGTTACTGAGGATTAAATGAAATACTGCATGTAAAGAATTTAGGACAGTGGATTATGGTGACACAAGACTATAATCCCAGCTACTCAGGGGGCTGAGGCAGGAGGATCAAGTTCAAGGCCAGCATCTGCAACTTAGTGAGGCCCTGTTGTAAAACAGTGAAGTGAAGTGAAATGAAATGAAATAAAGCAGGACTGGAGATGTAGCTAAGTAGCTGAGCACCTGCCTGGCGTGGGCTTCTAGATTCTAACCCCAGCAGCTTAGAAAAAAAATAAAGAATGAACGAATTTAGGACATATCTGATGCATAGTGAGTATTCACAGGTTAGATGCCACTATAATTATTTATTATTATTCCTTGTCTAAACCCTTTATAGTACTATTGCCTTTTTTTTTTTTTAATTTTTATTTTTGGTACTGGGGATTGAACCCAGAGGTGTTTTACCACTAAACTTCATCCCAGCTCTTTTCATTTTTTGAGAATGAGTCTTGCTAAGTTGCTTAGGGTCTTGCTATGTTGTTGAGGATGACTTTGAATTATCCCCCCATGGATAGGATTATAGGGGTGTGGCACCATGCCCAGCAAATCTCTCTGTTTTAGTCAGCTTTTTCCTCACTGGGACTAAAAGACCTGACACAACACAGAGGACAGACAAGTTTATTTGGGTTTTAACAGTTTCAGAGGTCTCAGTCCACAGAGAGCTAACTCCACAGCTCTAGGTCTGAAGTGAGGCAGAACATCAGGAATGCAGGCACGGAGGAGAAAAGCAGCTCAGGACGCTGCAAACAGGAAGCAGAGAGCGCTCTGTTCACCAGGGACGGAATAGAAACCCTAAAGGCACGCCCCCAGTGACCTACCTCCTGCAGCCACACCCTGCCTGCCTATATTCACCACCCAGCTAATCACTGGCATCAGTGGATCTACCCAGTGATTAGGTTATATCTCTAAGCACTTCACCTTTGAATGTCCTTGCATTGTCTCACCCACAAGCTTCTGGGGGACATCTCAAATCTAAACCACACCACTCCTCATCCTCTGAAGACTGAGACTTGGCTCCTAGTCCTGTCTATCTACTCCACCATCAGCACAGACCAGTGCCTAAGTAGGTAGCTACTGATGCTTACCTCCAATGCCTACTATCTTGCTTTCCAAAGCACAAGCCCTGCTAAAACAAAGCCACAATGGTTGCATTCACTGGTGCCACCCAGGTGTGTGGTCCACACCTCTGCCATCCCCAGAGTGCCTGTCCCAGACTTCCCCATTTGCCACAAAGCTCATGATCCAGCACCCTCTTCTCAGCAAACTTCTTGAGAAACTGAGAGTAACAGGAGACTTCAATATCTTACGCTGTCCTCACTCTCTGAAGCTCTAATAACATCCTAAAACTAAAGGCAGCATCAGGCACTTGAACCTTCCTTCTTTCCATTCCCCATCTTTCATTTTCTCTAGTTGTTGACACATTCTGCCTCCTTATTTTTCCAAACAGCTTTGTATCAACACACTATTGTTTGAGTTAACTTTCAGTTTTCAATTAAGAGCTTCATTTTATGTTGGGAAATACCGGCCTGCGGTCCTCCCCCACAGACACCCCCACCAGCCCTCTGCTGCCAAGAGATAACCAGGTTGTCATCTCGCAGGACAGAGAGGCTTTATCAAGCTGAAACTAAAAATCCTATCTGTAACACTACTGTCTAAAGCTCTTGGGCTTTGGCAAGACTTCTTTTTTTAAATCACAAACTATGTATTATTTGAACAGGATGTGGTGATGAAATGCACAGATGGAGCTGTCAAGACAAAGTCACTACTAAGTCCCACAGCACATTTTTCAGAAAGGAAAGAATCTATAAAAACCTAACCAAGCCCTACCTTTGCTGATGACAATTACCCATTTAACCTTCTTCCTGAAACCTCAATTAGATAGAAAACTTTTGCTTCCTGTCCTGCCATGGCTGCTGTTTGGAGTTGCCTAGCATCACCCTGAAGAGGATGAAGTGTAATCTCTACATACACTCCATCAGCTTTCAGGCCTTTAGGACAAACACACAGGAGGAGAATATTAAAGACATCAAAGAATGCTATTTTTAATTCTAGTTCTGAAGGTAGAGTACATTTAAGATTTAAAACACCCTGATTTACGTTTTCTTTTACCAGGTTCTATGTTATATCTGCCAAACTTTAAAATTTTGGACCTTATCTGATTGCTCAAGTATAAGACAAATTCTCCAAGTGAAAAATTTTATTTTTTGAAAGAAAGAAAATTTTTATAGGAAGCTTAAAGGGAATGGTATAAAACATTCCCAGAAAGTAAATTTGTTCATAATAGTGTACTTGAAAATCTCTTTTAAAAGTCTTTGTGACATATGCTAAAATACAAGGTGGGATCACAGTTCTTTCAATTAAATAAAAAGTTCAATGTTACAAAATCAAATCTTTAGGTAACAGAGTGACAGATACAAAATTTGGGATGTGGTAGAAGAAAAAAAAATGTTTGTAATGCCATTAACTTAAAAAACATCTGTAATCCACTAAAAGATGGAACAAAATAAACTTCTTTAGAATCTTCCAAACTTTTGATCGTTTTTTAAAACTACGTTCAGTTTTCGATTAGGCAAAGTAACTCCACCACAAGAATTAATGAAAAGAAATCTTGAGTTCTGAAAAAAGTTATCAAAACTTACAAAGATATAACTTTAAAATATGTACATTACCTGTGCATGTGGTAGAGTGTGAATATGCCCTGACATTATTTTTCTGGTTCCCAATGGTACACTTTCTATTTGGTACAGAATGCCCATTTACTGATATATTTTCCCCCTACTAGGAAATGACTATTTTTAGTCATGATAAAGTAATCCTCCTCAGTCTTATGTAAAAGTTCTATGACAAACCTGCCAACTCTTAAGTCTGCCAAGGGACAGAGTTCTAAGCAGAAGCCAGCTGAATTCTGCAAGTACAAGCCAAGCCAGCAGGGTCACACTTAAGGGACATTCTGCTCTCTTATGGAATCTGTGCTGGGCCAGAGCCCAACTTCACAGTCCTAGAATGTACCTTTCATCTTATTTATTTTCAGCAGCCAAATTTTCAGGTAATAGAGTGACAGATACATAATTTGGGGTGTGGTGGGAACAGAAAAATGTTTGCAATTGCCATGAACTTAAAAAAAAAAAAAAGTACCTGTAATCCACTAAAAGATGGAACAAAATAAACTCCTTCAGAATCTTCCAAACTTTTGGCCATTTTTTCAGTCTCAGCAGCATCTGTGAAAAGATCTGCAAAAACAAACACACAAACAACAACAAAAAAACCCCTAAAACAAAACGAAGGGGTTGGGGAGGGACAAACAGAATTATGTTACACAACTAGCATTTACCCGCATCCCAGGCATTGTGAATATAATATAAATGATGCTCCCTTAAAAAAGTCAGCACAAAGGTCACCGTGTTCTAGTTCTGAGTTCTTATACTGCACAGGTTTATGAGCCCACAGAAGGGAGAGGGGACAATGAAAACAGAGGCTCTTCCAGGCAAGCTCTGCATGCGGCAGGCCCTCTTTTTTTTTTTTTTTTTAGATATTTGGGCTACTTACAGAAGCAATTCTATGTCTGTTTCTTTGGCATTAAAAATTATTCTCCTGGGGACAGGGGTGTCACTAAGTGGCAGAGAGCACACTTAGCATGCAAGAGGCCCTGGGTTCCACTTCAGCAACAAAACAAAAACAAAACAAAATTTTCTGAAGATAAGATCTCCTAGTTTTCTGATGAAAGAATCATCTATAATATATAAGAGAATCAACTGAAAAATTACTCCATTTTATGAGTTCAATAAGTGGCCAGTAATAGATATATTAAAGGTCAATCTTTCAAAAACAAGCAAACAGCTGGGCATGGTGTTGTACACCTATAATCCCAGCGGATCAGAAGGCTGAGACTAGAGGATGGTGAGTTCAAAGCCAGCCTCAGCAAAAGAGAGGTGCTATGCAACTCAGTGAGGCCCTGTCTCTAAATAAAATACAAAATAGGGCTAGGGATGTGGCTCAGTGGTTAAGTGCCCCTGAGTTCAATCCCTGGTACCACCCCCCAAAAAAAAATTTTTAAAAAGCTTAAAAAATAAAAATAAAAACAAGCAAAAATAGAAAAACAAAACTTAATTCATTTAGTAAACTTTTTGCTGAAGTATATAAAATATATACAGAAAAATGTGCAAGTACTAAGTTTATGGATGATAAACTTATTTTCCTTCCTTTTTTTTGCAGTGATGGGGATCAAATGTAGGGTCTCCTGCATGCTAGGCAAATGTTCCTTCCACTGCGCAGATCACCAGCCCCCTGAATGAATGTTCACAGGGTGAACACATCCAGGTAACCCATACCTAAATCTACATAGAAACTTCTCTTATTCAACATCACACTTGGGAGGTTCATTCAGATTGCTCAAGTAGTTAGTTATACTCCATTCATGTGGTATTCTACCATGTGACTTTACACAACTCATTAATCTAGTCTGCTGCTGATAGGCATTTGGGTAGTTTCCAGTGTTTGTTAATATAAATAGACCACACTAAACCCTTGTGTACATTCTTTTTGGTGGACATATGTGTACATTTCTATTTATTAATTCCAAGAAATGGAATAGCTAGTTATAGGATCTTCATATTTGGGACTAGCTTTAGTTGATGCTGCCAAATACTTTTCTAAATTGGTTGTACCAATTTAAGGTTCCTACAGGTATGGCATCTTATGTCCTTGGCAATAATTGACGTTATCTATGTTACATTTTAGTTATATTGATGGCATTGCTTATTGGTTTGATTTTACATCTCCCTGTTGACTAATGAAGTCAATAATACCTTTTCACTGGTCATTTAAGTATCCTTTTCTGGGAAATAATTTTTTTTTAAAGTTCTTTTATACATACTTTTAGTTGTTGATGGACCTTTATTTATTCATTTATTTATATTCAGTGCTGAGAATCAAACCCAGTGCCTCACATATGCTAGGCAAGTGCTGTACCACTGAGCTACAACCCCAGCCCCCCTGTGAAGTGATTTTTGAAGGAGCATGCAGAAGGGTCAGATGAAAAAGCTCAGGAATCAGTCATAATAAATATTACTGTTTTTATACAGCCTTAATAAAATTGGTTTTATTTCAATACATGATTTGTTACACTAATAATGAACAACTGGTTAAAGAAAGACATATAAGGAGCATGTATATTAAAATCAAATTATTGAAGATTGTCCAATAATAACTAAAAATTTTACTCAATGTGACAATCATCGGATTCATAAACTTCACCCATTATTTTAGTCAGGTCTTCTGTTTTTCATGGTCAGAAGACCTGACAAGGATAATTAGAAGAGGAAAAGTTTATTTGGGCTCATGGCTTCAGAGGTCTTACTCCACAGATGGCCAACTCCGTGGCTCTGGGCCTGGGGTGAAGTAGAGCATCACGGTGGAAGTGTGTGGCAGAGGGAAGCAGCTGAGATGTGGCACCGGGAAATAGAGTTCCATTCACCCAGGACAAAATAGATAACCCAAAAGCACACCCCTAGGGACCTACCTCCTGTGGTCATACCCTACTTGCCTATAGTTACCACCCAGTTAATCCCTACTGGGACTCTCATTACCCAACCATTTCACCTCTAAACTCTCTTGCATTCTTTTACATAGGAGCTTGGGGAACACCTCATATCTAAACCATAACATGCAAAATATCTTTGGCACTTCAAAAACTAATGTTAAAAGTTTGTTTTAAAATCTATACTTTTAAAAAAAAGTCATGTGTAAGTTTTAAAATCAAGACAAGATGTGAAAATGCACACTAGACAGCTGGATGGGGGAAAGCTTTTGATAACAGGCAAGGAAACATGGGGAAAAAAAGAGATCTAAGTTATTCACATTTTTCACTGTTTGTTCCATTCCTTGCTTGAAGAATTTCTTTAAATAATCTTCCACTTAAACCACTCTCCAATGGGCTCACTGATGAAAAGCTTTAGGAATTAGCACACTCTGCTCTCTCCCACTGACTGCAGCTACAGTCCTGGGTGGAATGCAGGGAGAAGCTAGCTGAGGACTCTGAAGAATAAGCCAGCAAGAGGGGGAGGACACCAAATGCCACCAAACTGACGGTCAGTTTCCTGTTTTGTGTTCTGGTGTCTCCTGGCCTAGGCTCAGGGACAGCGTGAAACCGGAAACCGGATTGATACTGGGCACAAAAAGAGCTTTGAGAAAAGTCCACTCCCACCAGTCTGAGACACAGGAGATGGGTTTGGATGGGACACAGTGAGGAAAGTACCATTTTTTGCTTTGTAGATTTTTCTTTCTCTCAGGCTGGAGCTCCCAGGCAATCCCAAGGTAGCATCAGCGACAGCCCAGGGACACAGTAATACAGTACTGCAGGCCAAGAGCACAAGGGGCATCTCTGTTGCGTTCTTCTTCTTTCCCTCTTGGTATCTGTCCCACCCCAAGAAACCCTGTGGCTAACAACAGCCATCACAGCAGAGGCAACCAAAACTTGAGATAGGAGCACTATGGAAGTCCCTCTTGCCACCCAGATGAGGAGCCAGAAACAGCGGGGAAGGTGTTCGGTACAGGAGGGAAACAGAAGCAACTTCCTAGCTAGAACACCAGGGCATGGCGCCTGACAAAAAGTATTCAAGAGATCAGTGAGAGAAAGGTGCTCAGGAAAATTACCTCACAAAGATTTTTATGGGGGTGGGGATGTAGCTTGGGGATGCTGCGGATGGGACTGGTAAAGTGCTTGCTTAGTGATTGCAAGGTATTGGGTTTGAGCCCCAGCACCACCAAAAAACTATATATATATTTTTAAATGAACTCTTAGCCTAACCCCTGAGCTGTGCATGTGAAGATTCAACCTATACAATAAACCAAAGGCATTGTTCTCCAGGTATACCACCACCCACTGGCCATTGGGTGGCAAAAATGAGGGAAAGATCCAAATTTTAGAGCCTGAAAACTGAGAGAACACTGGAACCACAGCCCTAAGAAGGTGGAGAACTTATGATCTCAGAATATCCAAACCTATGGCCTATAGGAAAAGTTAAAATGCTCAGTGGTAGAGCTCTTGCCTAGTATGTGTGAGGCACTGGGTTCGATTCTCAGCACCATATATAAGTAAATAAAAATATAGGTCCATTAACAATTAAAAAATTAAAATTAAAAAAAGAACAATTAAAAATATCAAAATTCTCCATAGGATTTGAAGAAGACCAGGAGTTGCATGAAATTCAAATTTTGAAAACAATAGAAAATTGATCAACACATGAGAGACAAAGGAAATCTCAACTACTTGCAAAGGAAAAGACAATAGAAGGTGGCAATAAGAACCAAAAGGAAATTTCAAAACTGAAAAATATAATAATCAAAATTTCAAAATTTATGGCATAGGTCAATAGATGAATAGAGAAGACAGAGGGGGAAATCCAGTAAAGTGGGGACAAAGCAAAAGAAATCATCCTATCTTAACAAGAGGGAGGAAAAAAACCCCAAAAAGCAAAAAACCCCAAAAGCAAAACAGAGCTTCTAAGACCTGTGGGACAAAAAGAAAGCCTAACATTTGTCTCTTGAGTCCCAGGAAAAAGCACCACTAATGAACTATTTGAAGAAAAAAATGACTATAAACTTCCCACAGTGAACGAAAAATAAAAATCTACAAATTCAATAATCTCTAGGTACATGCACAGGGCTCTGGATTCATCCCCAGCACACAGGCACGGCTAAGAATCTCATGCTATCACACAAGAGGGTGACTGCAGATAATGATCATGGACTAAATATGCATGTGTAAGGCCTTGGGTTCAAGCACCAGTACCATCAAGGATTTTAAAAGTGTTTACCATGAAGGAATGATAAATGTTTGAGGAAACAGATATGTTTACCCTGATTAATCATTTTTATAACATACAAATATATTGAAACATCACATGGTACCCCACTAATACATACAATTTTTATGCATTTTTTGTTGGTTTTGAACCAATGCACATACCAAGCAAACACTCTACCACCACGCTACAGTTCCAGCCCATTTTTATATATCAGTAAAACATGAATAAATGAATAGAAGACTCTAAAATGAAGAGAATCTCAGCAAATCCCAAACAAGCTAAAACACAAAGAACTTTTGCTTAGACACATCATAATAAAATTGAAAGCCAAAAACAAAAGGCAAAGAAAAATCTTGTAATGAAGTCAGATTATATAATGGAGAACAAATATTCAAATGACTACGAATTGTGAATTTCTCATCAGA